GAGGAGGAGGGAGAAACCAAAGTGCGAGATAAAAGCGAACACCTCCCTTCGGTGCACAGAGAGAGATAGAGAGATGCGCACCTGCCATCTTTACAGCTGGCGGTCATTTTGCTTCAGTTACGTTGAATCGGATGGGATGGGTCGGCCATTTTCGCGAGGGGCGGACCTGAAGGCGGCAGCGGCCATTCCAGTTGAGGGCAGCTTCGCTTCAAACCCATTGAAACGGAGGCAAAACGAGGCGGCTCTCTTTTCTAAGGGCAAGGGTGCGAAAGGGGAGTTGTCCCCGCCATGTGATCACCCCTTCCTACCTACCCACCCACCCTCCGTGGAGCTCTGGAAATACATTTAACTGTAAGAGGAATATTAGTTGCAGCCGCTCTTGGCTCCTCCGTGCTCTGCTTTTAACGATTTTAAATGCTACTAGGGTGATGGTTTTGAAGGGCAGTCGGGAAAAGCAACCACCCGTGAGTAAACCTCTGGGAGAGGACGGCTTGCAACAGGCCGGGAGAATGGATGAATGAGTGTATGGGTGGGAGCTTTCCTCCCTTTGCTGGCTTCCCTCCAGCTTGCTAGCTACTCGGGGGAATCCACACGTTCCCAGAGTCAGACAGTGTGAATAAGGGAGACGTCACAGGTGGCCTAGCAAAAACCCTTCGCCAGTGGGAGGGCTTTGAAGGAATTGCAGAGTTGGAAGGGACCTCAAGGGTCATCCAGTCCAACCCCTCAATGCAGGAATTTCAGCTAGATCATCCATGACAGATTGGCCGTCTGACCTATGCTTTAAAAACCTCTAAGGAAGGAAAGTGCACCACCTCCCAAAGGTGACCATTCCATTGTCGAACAGCTCTTACCGTCAGAAAGTTCTTCCAGGTGTTCAGTCAGAATCTCCTTTCTTGTAACTTGAAGCCATCGGTTTGGGTCCTCGCCCCTGGAGCAGGAGAAAAGAAGCTTGCTCCATCTTCCACCTGACAGCCCTTCAGATATTTGAAGGTGGCTATCATATCTCCTCTTTGCCAGGCTAAACATACCCAGCTCCCTCAACTGTTCCTCATAAGGCTTGTTTTCCAGACCCCTGATCATCTTGGTCACCCTCTTCTACACATGTTCTAGCTTGCCAACATCCTTCTTAAATTGTAGGGCACACAGAATAGAGTGGGATTATTACTTCCCTTGATCAGGGCACCATACTTCAGTTGATGTAGCCTAGAATAGTACAGTGGTACCTCAGGTTACATACGCTTCAGGTTACATACGCTTCAGGTTACAGACTCCGCTAACCCAGAAATAGTACCTCAGGTTAAGAACTTTGCTTCAGGATAAGAACAGAAATCGTGTTCTGGCGGCGCAGTAGCAGCAGGAGGCCCTGTTAGCTAAAGTGGTGCTTCAGGTTAAGAACAGTTTCAGGTTAAGAACGGACATCCGGAACGAATTAAGTACTTAACCCAATGTACAACTGTATTAGCTTTTTTTTTCTTTTTTCTTTTGCTTCTTTCCTAGCCCTGGCCTGACCTAAATTTCTCAGGTGTTCTGATTTTGGCATCATGTTGTGCTTGCAGCTTAAGGAGGAAATAATGCACATCTTGCAATATCCCCTTTCCTCTGTGCGATGACTCCACAGGGAAATACACCATTATTATGAGTGGTATCCAATGCTAGCTCTACTCAGAGTAGGCCCATTGACACTCATAGACATGATTAATTTAGGTTCATTAATTTCAGTGGGCAGGGCTGGCCTCTCTTGTTCCTTTCTCCTCTTCCTCCACTGCCTCCTCCGCTCATTCCATTGCTGATCTTTACTTCCCCCATAAAATCTTCACACTTCCCTCTCACACTAAATCTGATTTATACTCTCCCCTCTCATTTCAACTGGTGTGTGTGTGTATGTGGTGTGTGTGTATTGTAGTTCATCTCAGGTGCCAAAATGTCTTGGGCCAGCCCTGTCAGTGGGTCTGCTGTGAGCAGGACTTAGTTGAATACTACCCTTTGGTTGTAATCCCATTCTTACTAGGGAGTAAGACTCATTGGGCACTTAAAAAAAGGCCTGTTTAGGTCTACATTGCCTGTTGTTTAAAGGCTTTCAGCAAGGCTTGCTACACTGCCCATTCTTCAATGTGACCTGTTTATTGAGCAGCCACCCTGATTTGCTTGCAGAAAGCTTACACAGATGTCTATGCTTACACATACTATGCCCAGTCTTTACTGTGTGCTTGTGGAGAGGCTATAGAGCTATGAGCATTCATCCTGATTTGCTTGTGCAGTGGTTTGACGTATTTGCATTAACCAGTCATTTATCCAACAGCATTTAGTGCATTTCCCCATCTCTTTCCTAACAGCAAAAAGTTTTGTTGTTGCTGCTGCTGCTGCAGCAGCAGCAGCAATAGAGCACTTTGCTCCACTTTAATTGCACAAACTCAGCTTTCCAGTATGTGATTGAATCCCTCACACAAAACACTGATAATCTGGAGGCAGTCCTGGTCATCCAGACCTGTCATATGTGCCTAAGCATTCCATGCCATTAAAAACAAACAACTTTACATATTTTGTATGTGACACATTTTTTGACAAGTTCCCAACAATTACAAATAAACTGATGTTGGCTATAATTCTAAAATCCACTTGTATTGGCACTGGTGGCAGAGTCCCCTTCAAAATCTAAATAAATAATATCTTTTCTCAGAAATAAGATCTGTTTCTCTTGGTATGGAATACACAGTAGCCAGCCATGCCAAGAAAATACCCCTGAAGGATCAAATATAACATTTTAAATATAAATTGATGGGAAATATTTAATGGATGGGGACGCGGGTGGCGCTGGGGACGCGGGTGGCGCTGTGGGTAAAACCTCAGTGCCTAGGACTTGCCGATCATATGGTCGGTGGTTCGAATCCCTGCGGCGGGGTAAGCTCCTGTCGTTCGGTCCCAGCTCCTGCCCACCTAGCAGTTCGAAAGCACTCTTAAGTGCAAGTAGATAAATAGGTACCGCTTTATAGCGGGAAGGTAAATGGCGTTTCTGTGTGCTGCGCTGGTGCAGGCTCGCCAGAGCAGCTTTGTCACGCTGGCCACGTGACCCGGAAGTGTCTCCGGACAGCGCTGGCCCCCGGCCTCTTAAGCGAGATGGGCGCGCAACGCCAGAGTCGGACACGACTGGCCCGTACGGGCAGGGGTACCTTTACCTTTACCTATTTAATGGATGCTGATTTACTTATTTGCCTGAATAATTTTTCCTGAAAAACTTTTCTTTCTTTCAAGTACACATACCGCCCCCAACTTCCAAAGAAAGGATCAGTTTAACTCTGCTTACTTCATTATGGATTTTCCCTCAAGGGAGTGTGCCTGTATCTCATTCCTGTAACATAAATTTGCACAGGAAGAGCTTTTTCTGAGGCAGACAATCGTATACCAAAGCACTCCATCCCCTTTTGTGCCCTTGCCTAGATATTCAGTATATGTTTTTGTAAAAATATTCGGCTACAGTTTTCAGCACTAGAGTTACAGCATCAATTGCACTGATGAAAATCATACAGTTGAAAGTAGCCTTCTAATTTAGAATAATATGTGTGTCCTGGTTTACACCCTGGAAACATACATGCCTCCATTCTTTTCACCAAGTATTGTAATTCTGCAGAGCTAAACTGGGATTGCTCATGCCATGCGAGTTTGATAGGCACAGAGATTGCAGAATGAAGACACTGGGTTATGAAAGCTTGCCCATTGATAGACAAGCTGCTCTGAGCTTCACACAGCAGCCTGCAGATATACTAATTCACCATGGGTCTTTGATATGATAAATTAGTGTGAAGGAGAGGTGCCAGTCACCAGTCATACTGCCGGCATTTGCAAAACAGCAATGGTAGAGCGTCACTCCCCTGATGTTCCCGAATGTTTTGGGGGCACACGCATCTCCCTCATACTTTCCATGAGAATAATAATTAGGATACTGATTAATTAATTAATCAATCAGATTTATTGATTAAAGGCCTTTTGATTGACTAAAATGTAGCCCACCTAACCAGGACACAGATGTTTCCTCCCCCTTAATGTTAATTATTAAATGTTCCTTTTTAATAACTGTACATGGCAGGCATCGTTATAGATGAGTCTGTTCCCTTCCTTTAAAAGATGCTTCTCACAAGATGGTGTCTGCTACAACAGATTTATGTGGTCTCTGAAAACAAAGAGAGAGTGCTTTCTTATCCCTGCAAAATAAATATTTTATGTACATGCAAATATATGCAGATGTAATCAGTTAAAATTCATACAGCCAGGGCTTCTTTTCTGCCGAAACTAACCGGAACTCGGTTCCGGCACCTCTCAGGTAAGCACTATTGCCATTCTAAGAGAACAAGGGAGGCATTCATGGTGAGTTCTGGCACCTCTTTTTCTAAAATAACAGCACTGCATACAACTAATATATTAAAGCTGCAATTGTATACTCACTTACCTGAGAGTAAAGCCTTTTGCCCTCAGTAGGACTTAGCTCTGAGCAGACTTGGTTAGGCTTGCACTGTAAGATTTCTCTAATCAGGTGACGACCTTTTAAAGAAAACAATGTGAGCTAGAATTATTGAGGCAGCATATGAAATGATTTGATTACTTGGAAAACATGCTGCGTTGGCTAAGCCTGTGTAATGCTCTCTCCTCATGAAATATTGTGTGTTTTCCTTCCTCTTTTAATCAGTAATAAAAGTCCATTTAAACTTAACAGGAGTAAGACTGCACTTTGAGCCCTCAGCTGGTAGGAAGATTCTAGAAAAAGAATTCCTCACATGCTGAAAATGTCAGCATTGTACAACTCTTGACAGGATTTTCAGGGTCAGGAGATGTCCTGTGAGCTATGTGGTCGCTTCGTGAATGAGATCCAGGCAATAGCTCATCCCATTTCCACAGCTGAGACGTGAAATTAAAGGAAGGAAGCTTGCAGGCAGTATGCTTTGACTTTGTCTGTTTTGTAAGGGATGTTGGTTCTTCTGACCGAGTAACAATTCTGTATTTCTATCCAGGAAACAACATGAAGCCAGTAATCGTGGTTCATGGTGGAGCTGGTCGCATCTTTAAAGACAGAGAAGACGGATGTCGTTCTGGTGTCACCAGAGCAGCGCTGAAAGGTTACGGTATCCTTAAACATGGAGGGAGTGCATTAGATGCAGTGGAAGAAGCTGTGGTAGTCATGGAAGAGGATCCTCATTTTAATGCAGGTAATTTTTGTGAACTTTCTGTGCTCCCACGGCCTGCGGCCTAGCTCCATTGTCCCAATGGAACTCAGCTTCTAACTAAGCCCTAGCACAAATAACTGAAACAACCATGTACAGTGGTGCCTCGCAAGACGAAAAGAATCTGTTCCGCGGATTCTCTAGCGGTTTTTTCGTCTTGCGAAGCAACCCCATTAGCAGCTAAGCGGATTAGCGCTATTAGCGGTTTAGCGGCTTAGCGGCTATTAAAGGCTTAGCGGCTTAGCTGCTAAAAGGCTATTAGCGGCTTAGCGGCTTAGAAAAAGGGGGGGAAGCGGGGGGGAAATGGCGAGACTCTCAAGACGTTTTCGTCTTGCGAAGCAAGCCCATAGGGAAATTCGTCTTGCGAAGCGCATCGCAAACGGAAAACCCTTTCGTCTAGCAGGTTTTCCGTCTTGCGAGGCATTCGTCTTGCGGGGCACCACTGTACTGCTTCTCTTTTCGCCGCTGCCTCCTCTTTCTCTGCTGTTTACCTGTTTCAGATTTTACATTTCAAGCACCTCAGGGCACCAAACGGTTGTCTTAAATATAAATAACAGAAGTTTTTTTTTTTTTTTTTAATAGAAATTTTTATTGGCTTTTCACCTTTTATAAAGACAAATACACACAAAAAAGACAAAGACAAAAACATGTATAGTTTCAGAAAATCCCACTTTCTTAACCTTGTTCCCAGACTTCCCCCCACCCCCCTTCATGCATCCCACTTCCCAAAATTGTGTCAGCAAATTGGTATTTCTCTTCTTAATCATCTTAAAATTTATAAATACAAATAAAATAAATTTTCCTAAGTTGGACTCAAATTCTCTTCCATTGATTTCCCAATTTGTCTTAAATAAAAGTCATATTAACCAAACCCAAAAGTCTTGAGTGTTTTTAGTATTGTATTCTTCCCTCCCTCCCATCCCCGGTTTTCGTCCCTTCCCAATACATGTCCAAAGTATCAGTTCTCAGCCTGGGTTCCTCACGTCCGAGGCTTTCAAGTCTCTTTCAGTCCCTCTCCGCCGGTCTTGTTGGTAATCCTTTATGTCGGCCCTCGAATCTCGAAGAAATTCTGTCACCTTCCAACCATTTTCTCTTCCCACCAGAACATTTGAAAACAATTGCTGGAAAATTTCCACAAAATCTGCATCTTCGAAATCAAAATCAAAGTGGGGGCCCCCCTCATATTTCTTTATTTTAAGTTCCTGTATTCCATAAGCTCCCGGGGCCTCCTCCTTCATCTTTTGCATCTTTCGCAGATTTGTGGTAGATGTAATCCAAAGGTCTCCTTGTTTATATTCCACAGATACCGACTCCTGGTTGGTGCCTTCCAACTTTACTTTCTCTTCTTCTTGTTTAGTCTCTTCCGCTTCTTTAGTTATCATTTCCAACGCAGCTGTGGATTCTTTCTCATCCAGGTCCTCAATACATTCAGCAGAGCTGCTTATTCCAGAAGTCAAGGTCATGAGTTGTTTATTCATAGCTAAACTCTGCTCTTGTAAGATTCCCACCAAATGAAACATTCTTTCAATTTCCACCAGTAACTTTCCATCCACAGCCATTGTAATTTCACAGACTTCCCCCTAGAGGGAATCTGGTTACTTGGTAATCTCTCCAACAATCCTCCAACTTATTGTTATTACTTTGTTTCCAACAATTTTAACTCAATTGTAACTCATTTTAAACCAGAGGGATCTTAAATAGCAATTTTTCCACTTAAACTGTCCGTTTGACAGCTTTGACAGCTGTCAAACTCCGCACCTCTTCCACAAGCTCAAAGGCAGGACGCTCCCGGGCCCGGGAGGGGGGGGGGGTTGTTTACCAAAAAGAGATCTTTCAACACTCCACTCTTCAGCTCAAAGTTACTTTTTACCAAATCTTGGAAGTTAATGTCTTTTTCAACTCACCCCACAAAGGGTAGGCACTCCAGCTTAGTTCTTATTTCGTTGCTTTAGATCGTCTGCAAGAAGGGGGGGTGCGGACTTCCTTTTAGTACACCCCCCGGTCGTCTCAAATTCACGGGATAATATTTATAAAGTCCAATTTCCCTTTTACTCACGGGTTATTCTTTTCAGTCCGAATTTCAAGGAAGGGAATCAGCGCTCTCCAGTCATGGCTCGCGGCTGCGCTCAACCAAGGTAGCGATCGACTCTCAGCACCACGCCACCCTCCGTATCCTCTCCGCAGCCTTTAAAAAGGCTCTTCGTGAATCGGGGGGGCGCTTAAGGTGCCCGCCGAGTCTGCAGTCCGCAGGCTTCAGCGCCTGCGGTTTTTGAGGGTCCCCGCGTCGCCGGCACGGCAAGACCCGTCCTCAGTTGAGCCGATTCCCTCCGCAGCTCGGAGGGAATCCGCCATTTCCAGATCGCGCCAACCCGGCTATAAATAACAGAAGTTGTGCCTGTGTGTGATGGAGCAGGGCTTTATCATCAGTTATGGAATTCCCTCTCCTGGGAATTGTTGCCTTTTAGGAGCCAGTTCCAGACATTTTTATTCTCCCTGGCTTTTTAAATAAAATGACATTTTTAGATCTGATGGAAGAGGGAGTTATATTTTAAACACTGGAAGTGAGTCACCCATTTGGCTGGTTTTGAAGAGAATTTGGAAAGTGCTTTTTTTTTTAATTGTGAGGGTATGCTTGGCGATTAATTATGAAATTGTATTTTATTGTAATTTCTCAGTGTGAACCATTTGGGGATATGTTTGCATGAAGGGCAGTATCACTGTGGAGATGCAGCAGGTTGCTCACTATGTGTACTTTCTGCAAACAAGATGCTTTTGTTTCAACAATCTTTTTCATCTGGATGAAAAGTTCTCTGCCGTAGGTGTTCATTTTGTATTCTTACTTAAACCCATCTTCTTCACTTTTTGGTACTATTTTAAAACTATTTTTATCTGTTTTCATGGTATGGTTGCAAATCACCTTGAGACACATGTAAAAGGAGATTAATAAATTAAATAATAAGATGCAATAGCTTTAGGAAATGAATAAATTAATAAGTATCAGGTCTAAAGGGAAATGTATTGTACTTGTTCCACGTTTCAAGTTGAGAATACCATTTCTTACTTTCTGCCTGAATGAAGTTTGGTAAACAGCAGGAAATATTTTAAATTCAATGTCTCCAGCACGATAAAACAGATACAATTTTGGCAGGATAACTCCTCTTTATGGATTCTTCTCATTTTTACATTGACAATTCCACTGGCTTGACTTGGTAAACCGGCAGCATGGTATTAAACAGCCTAACTGGGATTTTGGAATTTTCCTTATGGACCAGTGTGGCTCCCTTTGCTTTTTATGAGAGGAAAAGGTATTTATGTGCCAGTGATTCTCAAAACATGGCTTAGAGAGCCTCATTCATTGTGGGGAAGGGGTTTTTGTTGTCGGTATCCCTTTCCACTCTCTGCTGCCTATTAACCAAAGTTACAGACAAGAGAGGGCTGATTACTGAAGAATTGATGCTTTTGAATTATGGTGCTGGAGGAGACTCTTGAGAGTCCCATGGACTGCAAGAAGATCAAACCTACCCATTCTTAAGGAAATCAGCCCTGAGTGCTCACTGGAAGGACAGATCGTGAAGCTGAGGCTCCAATAATTTGGCCACCTCATGAGAAGAGAAAACTCCCTGGAAAAGACCCTGATGTTGGGAAAGATGGAGGGCACAAGGAGAAGGGGACGACAGAGGACGAGGTGGTTGGACAGTGTTCTCGTAGCTACCAGCATGAGTTTGACCAAACTGCGGGAGGCAGTAGAGGACAGGAGTGCCTGGCGTGCTCTGGTCCATGAAGAGTCGGACACAACTAAACGACTAAACAACAACAACAACAGACAAGAGATCAGTGCCAGGCCACAGTACAAGTGCTACAGAGCTGGAGGTATGGAAGAGCTGAGTGACACCACAACTGACCACGCAACTGTCTGCGCGGCCGCCAGCTTTGTGGCACTTGTACCGTGGCCTGTTTCCCAGAGCAATTCAGTTACTTAAGATGGAAGTAAAAAAAGAAGGCTGGGAGAGTCCAGACCAATGTATTCAACTTTGTGAACGAATTGTGCCATTTTGAAGTGAGACTGCTTTATTCTTTGAGAACCAGAACTAGATGAATTACTTATGTGGTTTAGGATTGCAGTCATTATTGCACATAAGTCAAAAGCAACCCCTCTCCCCAATTTTTGAAGGAGAGGGGGATGGATGATGTTGACTATGAAGAGCTGCTATTAAGCCATCACAAATCCCTGATAACCTTTCTGAGATAATCTGAGTTATCATCAGTCGATGACAACTTTGACATTTAGCGAGCTTATAAAAATGTAGCGTTTGTGTAAGACTCTCTCTCTATTTTTTTTGCAAGATCCTTCCATTCTAAAATTAGCAAAGCTTTTGTTTGAGAATACTTCCTCTTTATTCAGAAAAATTCAGTATTTTGGTACCTTGTTAGTAAAAGTACTTCATATTTCCACTGGTGCTTTTGCAGGGGAAATAGCTAGTATGTGGGCCTGTAGTTGTGATAGCCAAGCAACCAGGTCATTAAATTTTGGCTACCCCCGATGTACAAGGTATCTAGTTCTATAGTCACTCATATTTACAGGTGTTAAGGCTCATAAAATATATGGAGAAAATGAGCTGTGCAAAAAAGATCGGAGTTGAAACATACCATGCAGCTGTTATCTTCATAAAGGACAAAGCAGTCCTACTGTCATGTTGGGTTGAATGTGATGCTGCAGGAGCACATTGACAACATTAGCATGGAGGGGTTGTGGAATGGCTACTTTGTCCATTGCTCTTGGAAAATACGCCAAAACGGCGTAAATTATCCTTTCCGATTACCCTTAGAAATCTGCAAGTGAGCCACGGTGTTCTAAAAAACACTCTTCATCCCACTTGCAAACAGGGCAATTAGGAAACAATAAGACAGAGCCAGTCTTGCTTATTTATTATGTATTTTGTGTTTTTATCTTTTGTTTTTATTCTGTCAATCACCCCAAGATTACGGATGAAGGGCGGTATGCAAATTAAATAAATAAATAAAGTAAAAAGGGGGGGTGCTGGTGTCAGGTGGAGATTTTTAGGTGCCATTAAAGGGCAGCAAGTACCCCTCTTTTCTTAAAATGCAGGCACAGGGTATCATTTGGAATTTCTTCCTTGGGCAGCACCATTGCACCAAATCATCCTAAACCACAGCATCATAGAGTTGGAAGGGACCCTAAGGGTCAACTACTGCATTTGATATATAGCTTACTGAGCAACTAAACACACTCTAACTTAGCACTGCAGTTTAGGAACTCAGGCTGATGGCTTGTTTTAAAGAAAGCAAAAATGGAAAGGTTTTGCATTTGTGAGGCTTTGCTATAGCTGCACGTATACCATGGACTGTAGTGACATTATTTATTTTAGCACCTTGTAGGAGAGAATTCATGGTTGGTAGGTAGGTGGCAACAAAAATCTGCTTTATTGTAACCCCACATTTTTAGTGTGTTTTAAGAATCTACAATCATTCACCTTTGTTTCATTTGACTCAAGTTCTGAACCTTCAGGACTGTTCAAGCTATACTAGAAATTTGTGGGCTGTATATTTAAAGATTCCAAATTATTGTTGTTGTTATTAGATTTCTTACACCCTTCACCATGAGGTCCAAGGGTGGGTTACAACAACCTTTAAAAAAAACTAGTGTTGAAAATAAAGTGACAGTCAAGAGAATTGGGTGAGTCTTAAAATATATATGAGTTGTCAAAGCTCAGGGTAAAGAGGTTCATCTTCAGTTTATGATGAAAACTGCAAAATGAAGGTGCCAGATGCATCTCTGTGAGGAGGCTCTCAAAGTAAGAGCATGAGAAACTATCACTCCATACAGTGCTCCATTATTCCCCATCTACTTATGCACTTATAGTTGTTTCCCTCATAGAGTAGTAATACTTAATGTATTTTTCCCCCTGTTTGATTGTTAGGTTGTGGCTCTGTGTTAAATGAGAAGGGTGAAGTGGAAATGGATGCCATTATCATGGATGGAAAAAATCTAGCCTCCGGAGCAGTATCTGCAGTGAAATGTATAGCCAACCCAATAAAGCTCGCTCGCCTCGTCATGGAAAAGGTAGGCCGAATGTGCACTTGAACAAAAGAATAATACGATAGGGATGGAAAACCAGAGGCCTTCCAAAGGATTTTGGATTCCTACCTGCCCCAGCTGGCATGACCAATCATCAAGAATGATTGAAAGTGGTGTGTGTTTGTTTTTAATATAGGAAAATATCTGGGTTCGACAGACACTCCTTCAGACTGTGTGATCACCTTTCAATTTTTTTCTTTTTGGAGAAGAGGTTCTGACAGACCATAATATGTGTTCTGTTGCCAACCTTTCTCCCTCCTCAAAAACAGCAATTGTGGGCCAAGCCTTTTTAAACCCACCATGCCTATTCGCTACATCATTCTACAGTTTATGTTTAATTCCAGTACTTCATTGTTCAATGATATCACTGCATTGCTGATTTTAAAATGTCAGAAGGGACAAGTTGCACCAAGGTTTCACTTTGTGAAAAAGAAAAAAGAGAGTCTTTGCAGGGTTCTCTCAGGGGAATTTCAAACCCTTGAGATTCCCCCAATTCAAACAATGTTCTATTTTGACAACAAACCCCCCCCCAACACTTCATGGTCTTATTTACCTGTTTCCTGATTATAGTCATGGCTGGACGTTTTTGGAATTTTCCTAATTTTTGCATCCTTGGCTTTCTAGTCCTGACTTTAGAGAGCCAGTTGGTCAACAGCTGCAGAAGAGGCAGATCTACTCTGTGGCAGGGAAGGGAAGAAAGAAGCTGAAAAGGCACTGATTAGGCAGGCATTTAGCAAGCACCATTGAAACCCAAAGACTGACATACCAAGGCGCATTTTGAATGACCCTCATATTTATTTTGAGGGATCTAAGGTCCTGGCCACATTCAGCAGTTCATCACAAGCGCTCTTTAAGAAGCTCGGATGTGAAAGAGCTTTTTGCACCTGCACACAGCCACTTCACCCACCCCTTCCTGTGTGAGCGGGGAAACAAATCAGGAGCCCACGTTTCCTGTTACGTCTGCATCAGGAAACTGTGGTTAATGCCAGGCTATGAAACCATGGTTTGTATCCTTGCTTGTTCAGAAGCCAGAACACTTTCTTTTGCTGAAGTTGTGTTTCTCACCTGTGACTAGAAAATGGGAAGCTGCCTTTCTCTGTGATATGTATCTGGATCACTGGCACATCATTAGCCAGTGCTGATCTTTCTTGCCATGGTGCACATGAAGAGGCAAGTAAGAGGCAACATGATAGTAATGTACAAAATTATTCATGGTATGGAATAAGTGAATAGCTAAGTCTTCCTCTCATAATTGTAGTTTTGTTGGTGGTGGTGGAGGTCTGTTTTATGTTTGAACTGGGTAAAAAAACAAGGTACTTTACACCCCGCTAGGAACACTGCAAACTTCAATATTTTGTTGCAAACCCCCATTGTGAATACGTATTATGCTATTTCTTTTCATGCAGCCTGGTAAGGCAAAATGCATTTTCCCCATGTGTGACCATTTCTTTATAAACTTAGGGAAACTTCCTTAAGCCTTGAAACTAATCAGAAATTTAAATGCAAATATATAATCAAATAATACCAGGTTATGAAAATTTTTGTTTCAGGTCCTCTTTGGCCCTTTTGAAATTTACCATTCTGAACAAGCAAAATAAATACGTTTCTCCAAGACTTGGTTATCTTTCTGTGGCACAATATTGGCTCCATCTGGTGGCCAAAGTGTATTTCTTTGGATTTTGTCTAGCAACACCCATGAGCTTAGCCTATTAAATAGTCTATTGAGATACATTTCATTAGGCTGGGCAGACTATTTCCTTTCACAAGTGAATAATTCCTCAGAAGTACAGATCTCTTAAATGATTGCTTTTGGAGCTTTACCAAAATTTGTGGTGTGCTTTTCTTATTTGCAGTAGGAGAGGAAATAATTACTTGAGAATAAGTCCCAGGAGAGTAGCTGGATTAGTTCTTTTAGCAACAAAAAGTCAGTGCACTTTGGCATCTTGGAGACTAGCTAGATTATCAGGTATGAGCTTTCACCAACAGTAGTTCATTTGGGCAGCAATCCTGTATATGCATAATATTTGGTGCAGATTTATTTATTCTGATCAATAACCAGTTGGGATAATCTTTGATTTAGCCCCTCTGAATACATTGGAATTTGTTTCTGAGAAGGCAGGGCAAGCATAAGGTAAAGGTAAAGGGAACCCCTGACCATTAGGTCCAGTTGCGGACGACTCTGGGGTTGCGGTGCTCATCTCGCTTTACTTGCCGAAAGAGCCGGCGTAAACTTCCTTTTTATTGCTTATGAATAAGACTGTGGTGTCTTTATTCTTTTAGAATATTATTATTATTATTATTATTATTATTATTATTATTATTATTATTTATACCCCGCCCATCTTTCTGGGCTTCCCCAGCCACTCTGGGCGGCTTCCAAAAAAAAATATTAAAATACTGTAATACATCAAACATTAAAAGCTTCCCTAAACAGGGCTGCCTTCAGATGTCTTCTAAAAGTCTGGTAGTTGTTGTTCTCTTTGACATCTGGTGGAAGAGCGTTCCACAGGGAGGGTGCCACTACTGAGAAGGCCCTCTGCCTGGTTCCCTGTTTACCTTCCTGCTAGAGGCAGGGCAAGCCTAGGATTGCACTTTTACCAGATTAAAGAATGAGTTTTTGAATGTAAAAGCTGAAAATTAAGGTCACATCTATTTCATTGGCTGTTTATGCAGGAAAACTCCCAGTACAAGTTTAACAAGGTGAGAACTAAAAAAAATAGAACAGACTATGATTTTTATAGATGTTATCTGTGGGCTGTTGGGCTGCTGAATAGAAAAAAATAGTGGTGCAATTGACTTCCGGCAAGCACACAGAGCACAAATAAGACTGAGTGTATGGGGGGGCTCATTTAATTTCACTGCACACAGGCGGTGTAGTGACAATAAATGTATGTTTGTTTGTTTGTTTGTTTGTTTGTTTGTTTGTTTGTTTGATGGAACACTGAAAATACCATGTAAAAATATGATGCAGTTGTGTGTGACATCTGAATAGTAAACAAGCAATCCTGTCTTGAGCTGTTTCCTAGTCCTTATACTAAATAAATTAGTTATTGCTTCCCCAATGAACATCAGATATTATTCTAGCTTTTTGGCAAATTTCTTAGAAGGCTCCAATCTAGAACAGGTTTGTTGTACTCGGGCTGCACTGAAATGAATATGACAAGTTGGTGCTTAAGATTAACTTAGGTACCATTAATTTTAATGGGTTGATGCATGATTTCTTCAGATGAGGGTCGTCATGTATCCATTTGAAAGTCAACGGGAACTGTAATTAGCATGAACTGTGGTTACGGATGAATGTTTGGTAAGCAAATAAAAGGGATTTCCAGTAGTGCATTCACACTATCTACTCTAAAAGCCAATTCCAGGCATCTGAAAAGGTGCCAGATATAAATCTCTAAAGTGTGGAGTGTAATCCACTGGGAGCAGTCAAATACAACATTCCTTGTTTTGCTAGAGTGGACATGCAAGGGAATGTTTGGTCCTCCAGCCAGTCAAAACTTCCTGTTCCTCCTGGCTTGGAGCATCCTTCCTTGCATGTGACCTTCCTTTCCAGACCTGGTAAAAGGCCAAGGCATGCTGCCACTCTCTCTTTTCCATCTTCTTTTCTTCCTATGAACTTCCTGGAATGAACTGCTGGCTGCCAGCCAAGCAGTCCCCCAGGTCGTCTCCCTTATGGCATAAACCTGTTAGTATAATCTTGTAACTTTAAACCTAAAGCCTGCCTTCAGGTATCACACTGTGCTCTGCCTGATCGTGAGTAAACTTCCTTTTTATTGCTTATGAATAAGACTGTGGTGTCTTTATTCTTTTAGGAGGGATTCAAGGGGTCTTACCAGGAAAATATTAGAACACATTTCAATCTGGACAAGCCAGATGGAATTGCATATAGTCTTAAGAAACTCACATGCATTTGCAGCTAGTTTTCTGCATTAAAGGGGAATGTAAACTCGGCTAAGTAAAGGAACTTGCTAGCGCAAGTTAGGAAGGATATTAATAAACAATATATCCTCTCCTGCCACCCTGAACATCCACACATAAAGAAATAGCATGGTCCCTTAATATCTATTTTTATAGTACTACCAGTTACCTTTAGATCATTTGTGATATTAGCCAGGAATGAAGAGAAAGGGCTGTAGCTCAGTGGCAAAGCACACGTGTTGCAATTAAATGGTTCCATGTTCAAATCCTTATATCTTCTCTCCAGGAAATATTCCCGTTTGAAACACTGGAGAACCACTGCTAGTGTAGAACAGTGTTCCCCAACCTTAGGTCTCTAGCTGTTTTTGGACTACAACTCCCATCATCCCTCGCTAGCAAGACCAGTGGTCAAGGATGATGGGAATTGTAGTCCAAAAACAGCTGGAGGCCCAAGGTTGGGGAACACTGGTGTAGAACACTGGCTGGGACTGATGGGAGTTGGAAGCCCACAACGTCCCTTATTTCTAGAGCAGACAATACTGGAGAAAATGGACAAATGGTCTAACTCATTGTAAGGCATCTTCCTATGTTCTAGCTATGGAATTGGCCCTGGAGATTGTTCATTGGCTCCTCTGAGCTAAGATTACAGCGGTACCTCAGGTTAAGAACTTAATTTGTTCTGAAGGTCCATTCTTAACCTGAAACTGTTCTTAACCTGAGGTACCACTTCAGCTAATGGGGCCTCCCACTGCCGCCACGCTGCCGGAGCACGATTTCTGTTCTCATCCTGAAGCAAAGTTCTTAACCCGAGGTACTATTTCTGGGTTAGCAGAGTCTGTAACCTGAAGCGTCTGTAACCCAGGGTACCACTGTATGTGTCATTTCCTGCCAGTGCACTTTCAGTGGTTTGTTTGTGTGCTAAATATCTCCATTCTATGCAGTTTCTAGTGTTGAATTTCAGGTGTGTGTGTGTGTGTGTGTGTGTGTGTGTGGTAAATTCGGGAAAGGGGAAACTGATATAAGCTAAAGTCAGTGTGATTTAAGTATGCATAATAAGATATAGGACTAGATTTTCTTGAATGACTTTCACTAATAAAATAAATGATTTTAAAAAGAATTATCATGATTTTGGCACAAAAGGTAAAGTGTGTGAATTTGTATGTATTTTTTAAAGAATAAGTAGCAAGGTGCATTCACAGAGCCATATGCCTGTTTTTAATATCTATTGTCTCCTCTATTGATATTGTTTCGTGGTGGTATTTTATGTATTGCATCTAAGACTGCAACCCTATTTACACTAACCTGAGTTCAACAGTAAGTCCTGTTGAACGTAGTGTGGTTTACTTTTGAGTAAATATGCAAAAGCTACAGATACTGTTGGTACTTTTTTTTTGTTTTACAAAAGCAGAAGAGGGCAGTATTACACAAAGCAAATGTTCAAAACAATAAAAGAAAGAAAGAAAAGAGCTGGAACATTTCAGTCATGTAAGAGTAAACTGACACCATTGTCCTGCTTTGCAAATGATAATATATGATCCAAGCACAGGTATGCATCGCCTGACTATTTGTATTGTCCTTTATTGGAGACTGAAAACTCTTCCTTGTTCATAACTTCGAGAGAGGAAAATTATCCTGAGTGTTTCTTGTCTCAGAAACAAGGAGATACTTTTGCTCATTTGGCACCAGAGAATTGGTCACTATGTGGGAAACTATCGTAACAGAGTAATGCATCCACATATGCATGGTACTGTTCTTTGTATGTAAATCTCCAACCTGCCTACTTTGTCAAGAGGTTCACTAGTCACAACAAAACCAGGAAGTAGGGTGCAACCTGTAGCAATTGATGCTATCTCCTTATGAAATTGCCATCAGCGGATCATGTGGAGCGCATGGGTACACATTAATATAACACCATGTGACAGAAGCCGAGCAAATGAAAGGCAGCATTTCTGCATGCTTAAAAAGTAGCTGTTTTATTTCATATCCAAGTGTGGCTTCTTGCATATGCCCTGAAATTGACCGTAGCTTGATACCAGGGGGCAGCTTCCTCTGACAATTAGCTGGGCCCCTCCACCTCCTTTTTTTCCTTCCTCACAATCACACAGAAACACACTTTGCCCCTTTTGTGCCTTCGCATCCCTCTCCCACTAGAACTGAAGAAGGAAGACAGAATCATTTTGCTACACAGTTCCAGCCCTATTGTTAGGCAGAATGAAGTGGCCACCTCAGGTAGCAAATGCTTAGGGGCAGAGAGGGGTTAGCAGCAGGAGGACAAAGCTTTTTGGGCTGCTCAGCCTACCCTGTGTAAACCTACTGCCGTCAAATGTGTTGTCTCCCTGCCAGTATTGAAGTAAAATTCAAGCGCCAATTCAGCTGGCCCTTGTATATGGAATGGTGGTGGTGACACCCTCTCCTTTGCCTCAGGCAGAAAAATGGCTTGGGTTGGCCCTGTTAATACATCAAGGGCAGTATCTTTCAGGGGTCAGATCCTGGTCTCTTCTATATGCGAAGCCTTGCACAATTGCAAAGATATTTATTCTGTAATGGGCAATGGATGTAGATTTCTTTATTAAAATGTACATCTCATTATGTCCTTAGCCTCTTGGCAGTGTACACTTTGAAAAACACAATATGCATATTCTAAAAATATATCTGTACTGCTAAGATTACATAAGATTTATCCTTGACTTTGTTCTTTTACTTCATTCAAACCTTCTCTAGTCATTTAAAGCCAATGTGTGGTGGTGGGGGAGGTTATTTCATTTCATTTATTATATTTCTATGTCACTCTTCACTCGCATGGGTCACAAAGCGGCTTTCATACAATAAATAATATCACTGAACATCACAATTGCAACATAAATCATATAAAATAATTAACAAATCATCAGTAAAACAACCACCTTCTGTAAAATACTATAAAACAGAACAACTTAAAAAATATGGTAAACAGCTCAACCACAAGAAAAGTCATGTTATAAAATTCACAAAGCATTACATCACTCATAATCCACAAAGCAACATTAACAACATTAACAAACAACCAAAGCAAACTAAACACTGTCGAATTCACACACATGCTCTCCCCATCCCCATGACTCATAGTCTTTCACTCATTTTATCAAATGTCCACGGCAGCAACATGCTTGTCCAGCTATTTTGTTGAGTAGCTTCTTATTATATCTTATCTCCTTCAGACAGACCACATGTTGTTGACGGACCAGGGCGCCTCTGCCTTTGCTAGAGGCATGGGAGTTCCTGAGGTTCCTGGAGAGAAACTGATCACAGGAAGGTCACTGGAGAGATGGAAGAAAAACCTTGAGGCTGATTCGAACCCTCAACAGTTTCAAAAGCAAGTATAAAATGTTGGGTGTTGGGGGCAAAATCCTGACCACTTGAGCAAACGAAATTAAAACATGACGCGAAATGTGAAGCTACTCACATCTCTCCTCCAACATTTCTCCGATGAAAATAGGGACACCCCATTCCATAATGATAATTTTACTGCTTATACCTCATCCCAGTCACACTGGGCAGCTTCTAACATATATAAAAACATAATAAAACATGAAGCATTTTTTTTTAAAAAACCAACCCTTCCCTATACAGGATTGCCTTCAGATAGCTTGGGTGTCAGATAACTGCACACCCTCCTACATTTTCCCAGTGAAAATAGAGACATCCTACCATACCCTCCAACATTTCTCCAATGAAAATAGGGACATCCTAAGGAAAAGTGGGACATTCCAGGATCAAATCAGAAACCAGGATGGCTTCCCTAAATCAGGGACGTCCCTGGAAAATAGGGACACTTGGAGGGTCTGTACTCAAGATGGCAATATGCAATCTTCAGATTCCGAGGCAGGATACTTCTGAATACCAGCTGCTGGGGAGCAGTAGTGGGGATTGGACTCATTTCCTGCTCGTGAGTTTTCCAGAAACATCTGACTGAACTAGAAAAGGGTTTGGTCAAATCCAGCAGTGCTGCTTAAAGTTCTCATAATATATCCCCCTATGCTGGTCAAATCTCTGCAAAACATAATGGATGTTTTTGGATGTTTTACCCGTAGACATGCAGCTTGTGAAATTTGGTCTTCCCAAGGATGCATGCCCACCAGCTGCTCACCTCATCTCTGGATTTGCTGCGCCCAGCCCATATTCCCATAGGCCACAAACCTATTCGTACTTACCTGAGAGTAAAAGCCTCATTGAACTCAACCTGCAGTCTTAATTTTTTGCTGGGAGTAGGGGAGGCAGCGCTGCATCTGAAGCCCTGATCTACTGATTAATTGGGGGTGGGGGATTCTTTCAATTGCACAGAAATGCTTTAGGTTATTCGGTCACATCAATTGTTCAATTGAATGGTCTTTTTATACTTGAAAAAGACTGGTCCTTCAACAGATTAAGTGCAAACTCAGAAGTGCATTAACTCCCAATACAGTTTTTTCCTTTTATGAATTCTTTGGACTGAAGATTTCCGTTGATTTTTTTTAATACTTGGGGAAATGCTACCTGTGAGACGCTATGTTCTTTTGGCAAACGCTCTCCAGTCTTCAGCTAATTGTTTGAAATGCTATTTTGGCAGAGACCTTGGAACAGTTGGAGCCGTTGCTATCGACAGTGCAGGAAACGTTGCTTGTGCAACATCAACAGGGGGGCTCACGAACAAACGCGTCGGCCGCGTTGGTGATACAGCGTGTATAGGTAGGGGAGTGTGATAAATGGAAGAAGAGCCAGCCAGCCCTTCCTTCCTTCCCTCTCTTTCTCATATAATATGTATGATATCAGTCAAATGCATGATAGCAAAGGCTAAGGTCTAAAGAATCAGTATGACGGCTTGCCGTTCCTATGGCAGCAATTCCTGCTGCCAAAGAGGCAAGCCACTTTTAAAAAACGGAACAGTGAAAGTGGGAAGTGCTGGTGCAGAAACAGCAAGCAAAATATCGGGCCTGCAGTGACACTCCACGCTTGCGTGCACATAGAAACCCGAGTTTAGTGGATGGTATGTTTTCCTGAGATGATGACTTTGTAACTTTTACATCCTGCACAATATACTTCTACAGTATATAAGATGGGTAGGGAGTGGAAAGAGCAGGATTTGGAGATTGCTTGGTTGAATACACTGTGTTTCTCTTGTAGAAACAGGCTTACAGTAGTTCTTGGGTGAGGAAGCAGCAAGGGGTGTTAAAAGGAGCCCAGGGTGTACAGTGGTACCTTGGGTTACAGACGCTTCAGGTTACAGACTCCGCTAACCCAGAAATAGTACCTCGGGTTAAGAACTTTACTTCAGGATGAGAACAGAAATCGCATGGCGGCAGTGGGAGGCCCCATTAGCTAAAGTGGTACCTCAGGTTAAGAACAATTTCAGGTTAAGAACGGACCTCTGGAATGAAATAAGTTCTTAACCTGAGGTACCACTGTATTTATAGACACATAAGGAAATTTGCACGGAGAACCTTCACTTCCTGCCTCCACTTGAAATTCCAGGAAGAAATCTATTTATCAATTCATAGACTTTGAAGGGGGGAAAAACATTGCTTTTGTTTTAAATTCTACTGACATGCAGGCCACCAGCAATGATTACTTGTAGATTCAGAGCCAGGGTAAACTTAGCATGCAGCTTGAAGGATGGCTTATTAGCAAATATATCATCTGTTTACTATGCAGCTGATCTAAACTTTAGTTTTGCAATTTGCAGGCTGAAAGTCAATAATGTGTGTGTAAAATACTTCTCCCCAATACCACCAAATAACAGGTCTTTGCTTAACTTTAGTAAATCTTCATTCATTTTGTTTAGACTGCGTTTTGTTTAAACAAGAAGGCTAATAATAATAATAATAATAATAATAATAATAAATTTTATTTATATCCCACCCTCCCCAGCCGAAGCCGGGCTCAGGGCGGCTAACAACACTAAAACAGTACAACTTTATAAATACATTCTAAAAATCAATTAAAATATGTTGGGTCTGGAGAAAGGACGATTTAAAAAGCAGATGATTGTCCAGAGTTCAGCACTCCTGAGATATTAGGAGGACCATGTTAACATTGTTCAGTCATTAGCATTCTCCTGTTAGAAGATTTTGCTTGGTAGTTCAGTGTATGTAGGCAACCCTCAATAGACTTGTGTGCCATCTTTCAAACACCATCCTTTCTTGATATGTTTTGAAGATTCCCCCAAATATTTAATAGCTTCATTAGCTCAGTGTTTCCCAACCGGTGTTCCGCGGCACACTAGTGTGCCGCGAGACGTTGCCTGGTGTGCCGTGGGAGGGAGGCGGGCGAGTCGGGCGGCGAGAGGCGGGGCGGCGGCGGCATCTCCTGCTGGATGCAAATCCAAACATGGCGGGCGCCTCCCTCGCTCCTTTGTAGGCGGACCATCGAGAGAGAAAGAAAAGGAGGCGAAAGAGCGAGAGAAGGCGCCTGCGCGGAAAGAGGAGCGAGCAGTGCGCCTGCGCGCCGCGGCGCCCGAGTGCAGTGAAATTCCGTGAAGAGGGGAGGGGGGGCTGGAAAAGAGAGAAAGGAAAGATTTTTCATTTTTTTAAAAAAAAAAAAAGGAAGAGGGAAAGAAGAGAAAAAGCGGCAGAAGCTGAGGGGAAGGTTTCCGTGAGGGAGAGAGAGAGAGAAACGCGGGGCTGGCGGGACCCCTCCTCTTCCGCCATGCGTCGCCCGCCGCCTCAGAATCTCCTCAGGAGCGGCGGCAGCTGCTCCCCCTCGCCCCCTTCCTCCCCCCCAGCCCCCTCCCAACCCCCGGACGAGGGACGCGAGGCGGCGCCGCTGAGAGGACGGGAAGGCCCCCGGCGGCGGGGTCGGCTCGAGCAAGGAGGGGCGAGCGCTAGCCGGCTGGCTCTAGCCCGGCAAGAGGAGGAGGAGGAGGAGGAGCACGCCGTCGCTTCCACAGCGGCCGCCCCACACTCCCCTCCCCGGGCACCGGCGGGGAGAATGACGGAGCTCCAGTCCGCGCTACTACTGCGGAGACGGCTGGCAGGTCGGTCCGTCTGTCGGTCGGGGCAAAACACACCACAGCGCAGGCAGAGGCAGGCAGGCCCGTCTCTCCCTGCCCCCCCTCGGACCTGGCCGGCCTGGGGTTTGCACCCCAAACATTCATGTCCACCCCAGCTACACAAGCCACACCTTGCTCTCAGTTCGATCTGTCAAATAACTCACCTATCATTCACATAAAGAACCTAGTCTATCCTCAAACGTCAGAATGTACCTCCTCTCTAGCTTCCCCCACTTCATCTAGGCACTTTCAGCCCTTACTTAACCCACCCCAGCCTGCTTACTCTTCCTTCATTTGCTATAAAAACTAAATACAGAGAGAGACTGAGAGCTGTTGACGAAGAGCTACGTGTGTGTCTTTCTTCGATTCCAGCCAGAATATCAGCTTTGTGTTCAGCCAAACAGGCCCAGGTTGCGCACTGAATAAAGTATTTTATAATTTTTCATATTTCTGTTTACTTACTATTTCATAATAAAGTAATTATAAAATACTTTCTTTGTGTTTATTTGATTCCTATTAAAGAGAGTTACTTTATATATAGTCAATATAGGCACAGAGTTAATTTTTTAAACATTTTCTAATGGTGGTGTGCCTCGAGATTTTTTTCATGAAACAAGTGTGCCTTTGCCCAAAAAAGGTTGGGAAACACTGCATTAGCTATTGCAAGAGAGGAAACAATTCTCTAGATATCCATCCACAAGAAACATCTTAAGAGTTTATTCATATTTTTCTGCCTTGTCATCCCCAGGTCTACCACTTGGCCAGCAAATCAGTGTGCCAGTTTCACCAATTCCAACGTGGTTATATCTGAAATGATATTTAGTTAAAAGAGAAAATGAGTTGTGCTTAGTTCAGGTTCCAATTGGCTGAAGTGATGCCTGTTGTGGCTTACTTTTATGAACTAACTCATCAGTGTAGCAAGTAACCTCGCCAGTGCTGCTAGCCACAGGGTGGTACAGTACTGATGACGTGTACTTACCACACTATCCCCTCAGCCTTCATAGAAAGTTCATCTGAACACTAGTAGAACTATGGTGGTACCTTGACCATCTGGAAGAGATTTTTTGGTGGTCAAGTTACCCAGCAGTAATTTGACTTCAGAGTAATTGACACTTAATCCTTACCAATTAACATTGTATTATTGAAGTGCAAATGAACCCTTGCTCCAAATTATTGGTTAATTCCATTGATGTAGACCAGGGATGTCCAACAGGTCGATCACGATCTACTGGTAGATCCCCGTGAGGTTTTGGTAGATCACAGTTGATTGCTCCGTCCCTTTCCTTAGCGTTGGTAAAATATATTCCAGCCCCGCTCCCTCACCCTGGCCTCCATTGTTGCACGATTTGCAGAATGGAAGATGGAGTTTACTTAGTGAGGCTGTTTGTTTCCGCAGCAGTCTGTTGCTGAGTGGCTGTTCCCCTTTCTCCCTTGAGCTTAGGCTTGAATTCTCAATAATCGGGGCTTTCCTCCTCCCTAAAAAAAGTTCAACAACCTTGCCCTGAACCCCCCAAAAACGGGGCTTTCCTTTTTTAAAAAAGGGGTAGATCACTGCCAGTTTTTAATTCTGTGAGTAGATCACAGTCTCTTGGGAGTTGGCCACCCCTGATGTATTGTAAACACAAAGTGTATGCCACTTGGGTTCTTCTGCTTCACATAAGAGTGGTTGCTTTTGTAACGAGCTTATGTGCAATTGGATATATCCTTGTAGTTGATTTGAGATGTTGGGTACTGTAAATGCCAGTCCTTGACTTTTTACTTTTTGCTCTTTGATCAGGAAGTGGAGGTTATGCAGATAACAATGTTGGTGCCACTTCTACTACAGGCCACGGAGAGAGCATTATGAAAGTGGTTTTGGCAAGACTTATCTTGTATCACATGGAACAAGGTAACGACAAAGGTTGCAAAGAGCACAGAACTGCTACTGTATTCCTGACAGATGTTGGTGGGAGTAGGTTGTGGTCCATTAGTTCAAAGTTGAGGACGCATACCGAGAAAGTTATTTGAATAGTAGTCAAATGTTGTGATCGGTAGAGGGTTGTGTCCAGATGATTTAAACAATGAACCTTCTGAGGGCTCAATTTGTGCTAGTCCTTATTCAGTGGCACTGGAGCAATATTGTGCTGGTGTGCAATGAATAACAAACAAAAATTATTTTGTAGTTGCCTGCAACAAAGTGATGCTTGCTTTTAAAAGCTCAAGTACAAAAAAACTATGGCATCTTAGCGGTTGCATACCAAAAACAATAGGCTTTTAACTGTTGAAGGGAGTGGGTTGTTGCTGATTAATCTTATAAAACCCTTTAAAACACCACCAGTTTCTCTAACTTCTATGTTAAAAAGGAAGGCATGTGAATGAAAATAAGTAGGTGATCTATGTATTGATTTGTGTATATTAAGTAAAAGTGTGACTATGGTAAATAGCTAGCAACAAGGTGTTCATGTGGCTGTAATATAATCAGGCTATGGATGACTCTAGAGAGCTTTGCCTTCTATGTTATCCAAACTCTCGATTTATATTACAGCGGGTAAACATAATCAGCTGACCTACTTCTCCTGAATACACTTACAGTTGCCAGCGTGACCAGACCACCTTCTTTATTCTAAGCTGTAGTTGCAGACTGCAGATCAGTAGGATCGCCATTTAACTTCTGACACAAAACTTCAAAGAATTTTAGAGCCATATATGCAGAGGAACTGTTAAATGGAAAAGGTGGAAATTCCATTAGCATTGTATAAAATAAGTTCCAGGGAGGTTATCTGCAAATCTCAGGTGTGTAAATGTCATGTCATAGGGATCTTTCACCTTTATTTCAGCATCCTTAACAAATGGCTTGTCACTCTGACTTAATCTACTGATAGAAAGAGTTACTGTATGAATCTGGTTTTTGGGTCAAATGCACCCCAAGAAAGCTGTGAAAATACTCAGGGGAAGACATTAAGCCAATACCATTTTCAAGTAAGGAATCATGTCTTTATTGAGATACTTCACTTTTCCAGCTGAACACTAGTTGCAAAGAAATCATCAGGGCCAACAATATCCAATAATATAAAGGACAAGCATCTACAAAAATGGTATGTGGAATCCGATTGCTTCACAGTTGTTTAAAAACATAAAACAATATACAATGCTACCTTGGGTTACATACGCTTCAGGTTACATACGCTTCAGGTTACAGACTCCGCTAACCCAGAAATAGTACCTTGGGTTAAGTACTTTGCTTCAGGATGAGAACAGAAATCATCCCCCGGCGGCGCGGCAGCAGCAGCAGGCCCCATTAGCTAAAGTGGTGCTTCAGGTTAAGAACAGTTTCAGGTTAAGAACGGACCTCCGGAACAAATTAAGTACTTAACCCGAGGTACCACTGTATTGCTCCATTACAAGTGTAATGGGGGAATAATCATGAGTTGTGAATTACTTGCAGCAACAAATCGTACAGAACTTGCAACCACAGCACTTGCTAATTAGGCAGCCTATACACAATCACCACATTTCACAACTGCATGAGCAGGCCAGACAAAACAGTTACATGAAGCATATTTTTAGTGTGTTGACCACAGAGATAGAATCATAGAGTTGGAATAGACCACAAGGGCCATCGAGTCCAACCCCCTGCCAAGCAGTAAACACCATCAGAGCACTCCTGACATATGGTTGTCAAGCCTCTGCTTAAAGACCTCCAAAGAAGGAGACTCCACCACACTCCTTGGCAGCAAATTCCACTGTCGAACAGCTCTTACTGTCAGGAAGTTCTTCCTAATGTTTAGGTGGAATCTTCTTTCTTGTAGTTTGGATCCATTGCTCCGTGTCCGCTTCTCTGGAGCAGCAGAAAACAACCTTTCTCCCTCCTCTATATGACATCCTTTTATATATTTGAACATGGCTATCATATCACCCCTTAACCTCCTCTTCTCCAGGCTAAACATGCCCAGCTCCCTTAGCCGTTCCTCATAAGGCATCGTTTCCAGGCCTTTGACCATTTTGGTTGCCCTCCTCTGGACACGTTCCAGTTTGTCAGTGTCCTTCTTGAACTGTGGTGCCCAGAACTGGACACAGTACTCCAGGTGAGGTCTGACCAGAGCAGAATACAGTGGCACTATTACTTCCCTTGATCTAGATGCTATACTCCTATTGATGCAGCCCAGAATTGCATTGGCTTTTTAAGCCAATTTTTTAGATGATTCCTGCCCTCTTTTCAGCAGGAAAGACAGCAGTGGTTGGCTCCACCAGTTCTTTCATAACATAGGCAAATTGGTTATGTCACTGAATTTGATCAACTCCAGGCTAGAACTGTAAGGAGGAGACTTTTTGGAGTGTTCACTCCATTGTGGGTTGTTTAGCTTTTAAATATAGGCATCAAAGCAGGCAGTGTCTACTACATTTGAAAACCAGAAAAGTACCCTTGGCATTTGGAAATGTAGATGGAGGTCACACTTGTCCATACCACCTTTAGTTTTATTAAAATAAAGAATGATCTCTTTCTTGGAGGCACTAAAGAAAGGGGAATCTACAGTTGATTACATCCTTGCATTCTTACTTGATTTTGGAAATGTGCACAGTAGCTTTCAGCCCCTCCTAACCATGCTACATAATTCAGGCTGCACAGTACTACAAGTGAAGAGCAGGTGCTCCATTGAAGGGTAGAAACTGAATGATCCTTTTTGCAATAGTTGGAATGTCTAAGCGTTATTATGGCAGCTGTTGCTTGGATGAAAATAATCCTTCCTGTTAGTGTTTATAAAGGCTGGGCTTTGGTTTCTAAGCATGAGAATAGTTTCCATTCTGGGGTATCTGGGTTTTGTTTTTATGAAGAGGAAGGGCAAAATCTTAAAGCAGTTGTTATGCTTGTCTGAGTTACAATATGACACCTGATGCATTTGTAATACTTAAGACCAAGCAATATACAATGCACCGGTGGATCTGAGATTATAAATTGTGGATAACAACATGAATTTTATTTGGCTTGTTTACTATGCACATGCACACAAGATGGGTTTTGTTTACAGGGCATCATGTCATCTTTAAAAATGATTAAATGTTACTGCTGTCTCTGATGACATGCTTACATTGTACACTTGAACTAAACAATGTCTGAAGGTCTCGATTTGCGGACCTACCAAAAACATATATAGATATATATAAAACAACAGTGACAAAATAATCCCACAATGATACTTTGGTTTGTATTGGGATTCAATTATATCATAAATCCTGGTGATAAAGATTATCAATGTCCTTTGAATTTTTTTCTTGCCAATTTACCAACAACTAAAACAAATCCGGCAGGAAAGTAAACAGTGTTTCCGTGCGCTGCTCTGGTTCTCCAGAAGCGGCTTAGTCATGCTGGCCACATGACCCGGAAGCTGTACGCCGGCTCCCTCGGCCAATAAAGCGAGATGAACTCCGCAACTTCAGAGTCGTCCGTGACTGGACCTAATGGTCAGGGATCCCTTTACCTTTACCTTTACAACAAATCTATATATAGGAGACACACATTTGAGGGCCAGACAAAGCACAGAATGGTTTCTGTGTTGTTGTGCCCCCATGATACAATTAGGCCCATCAGTTGTATCTATCACCTTTTATTAGTGGTTAAGAGTGGTAGACTCGTAATCTGGTGAACCGGGTTCGCTTCCCCGCTCCTCCACATGCAGCTGCTGGGTGACCTTGGGCTAGTCACACTTCTCTGAAGTCTCTCAGCCCCACTCACCTCACAGAGTGTTTGTTGTGGGGAGGAAGGGAAAGGAGAATGTTAGCCGCTTTGAGACTCCTTAGGGTAGTGATAAAGCGGGATATCAAATCCAAACTCTTCTCTTATTTCCCTTTCTTTTTAGCAAAGGAAAGAAATAGAAAGTCATTTGTGGTATTCTGTCAATCATTAGAGCAGCTGGCTAATGGAACTCAGTTGTAGAAAGGCTGTGGAATCTTCTTCATTTTAAGGTATTTTGTAAGAGCTGAAGGAATGATTCTCAGGAATAGCAAGGTATAGGGGACACAGCTAGAATTTGGACTAAGGGGCCATAAACCATCTGGCTTTGATTCGGTAAGTTGGTGTACTATTCGCAAAGAGAGTTTTGCAATGTCTTGTTGGAGAGGGGTCAGGAATTCTCTGATACTTCTTTATTGACTGTTGGGATCTAAAAGGTTTCTTAGATTTACACAAGGGGATTTGGTTATCTCTGTAGAATTCCTTCCCCCCCCCCAAAAAAAACAACAACAACCCAGTTTTAACCTGTGTTTGAAACACTTGTTTCAAAAGAAGGTTGGTAGGCCACTGTTTGAGTAAAAAACAAACCTAATGACCTCTTATACTCATGGAGCTACTCGCGTACTTTTGGGATCATGCCCACCATGTTTAAGAGAGATTATATGGATGAATTGTAGCTGCTGCAAAAGCCTGTTATTGGCTAATCTGGAAAGATTCAAGGCCACCCTTTCAGCCTGAATTGGTTTTGCTCAAAATTATTTAATTTCTGACGTGTTTTTGAACTTTCCCCCCAGGAAAATCGCCAGGAGATGCTGCTGACTCTGCCCTAGATTGCATGAAAACTAGAGTCGGGGGATTGGGTGGTGTCATTGTGATCAGCAATTCAGGAGACTGGGCTGCACGATGCTCCACCCAGGAGATGTCCTGGGCTACAGTCAAGGATGACCAACTGCACTATGGCATTCATGCTGGGGAGTGGCACACACAACCTGCCGAAGAAGCTATTAGCTCCCTGGGATGCTAAGCAGAAGTGAAGGAAGTGGAAGTAACGCAGCACAATCAAGATTATAGACCTTTGTCGGAAACTGAATCTGTTGTCCCCTTTCTGAAAGGACCTTCTCACCAAATTTCAGTTCAGATATTCACAATGCTGGTCTTTTTGCAGCCAAGCTAAAATCTAGAATGAGACATAGTGGGCTTAAGGATGGCTTATGTGAGCATATATAAGATATCCAAAGGTTTGGTTTCTTAGTCACACAACTGAATTGCAGAAAGTCACTATGCACATCTTCAGTGGGGTGTATTTGATGAGATATGCAGTCTTCACAATGGCCATTATATTGAAGGCAGCTTCTCCTATAATGCGATAATTCTTGGAAACCAGTGTCCAATTCAGGAGACTGGGCTGCACGATGCTCCACCCAGGAGATGTCCTGGGCTACAGTCAAGGATGACCAACTGCACTATGGCATTCATGCTGGGGAGTGGCACACACAACCTGCCGAAGAAGCTATTAGCTCCCTGGGATGCTAAGCAGAAGTGAAGGAAGTGGAAGTAACGCAGCACAATCAAGATTATAGACCTTTGTCGGAAACTGAATCTGTTGTCCCCTTTCTGAAAGGACCTTCTCACCAAATTTCAGTTCAGATATTCACAATGCTGGTCTTTTTGCAGCCAAGCTAAAATCTAGAATGAGACATAGTGGGCTTAAGGATGGCTTATGTGAGCATATATAAGATATCCAAAGGTTTGGTTTCTTAGTCACACAACTGAATTGCAGAAAGTCACTATGCACATCTTCAGTGGGGTGTATTTGATGAGATATGCAGTCTTCACAATGGCCATTATATTGAAGGCAGCTTCTCCTATAATGCGATAATTCTTGGAAACCAGTGTCCATGATAGACCAAATGTAGTCTGGTGCCCCAGATCACACTTTCGCTTTTATCTTATGTGCCCATGTCACAGTCCTCTGTATCCCTCCATCATGCCTCCCTTGAACTGCTCACCTGGGCCTGCTCACACCTCGCCTGCCTCTGTCCTCTGGATCTCTCCTGAGCCTGTGTGGTGTAGTGGTTAAGAGCAGTAGACTCATAATCTGGTGAACTGGGTTCGCGTCCCCGCTCCTCCACATGCAGCTGCTGGGTGACCTTGGGCTAGTCACAGTTCTTTGAAGTTTCTCAGCCCCACTCACCTCACAGAGTGTTTGTTGTGGCGGAGGAAGGGAAAGGAGATTGTTAGCCGCTTTGAGACTCCTTAGGGTAGTGATAAAGCGAGATGTCAAATCCAAAGACTTTGTCGTCTTCTTCTTCTCTCCTACTCCTACCCACCTTTCCTGGGCCACTTGCCTAGGTCATTATGCTGCCCATCTTCCAATTCCCTGGCCTAGACCTGCATCTCCATCCTCTGGATCCCTTCTACTCGCTTTGCCTTGGCCGTCCACACTGCTGTCTGTGGTGAAGTAAACTGCAGCATGATAACAACCCTGTGGTTTTATATACTGGAGGGAAAATCTTAGAATCTTGGAAGGGACCTTGAGGATCATCTAGTTCCGCACTCTGTTCATTTCAGGAGCATTTGTTATGTAAACTTTGAGAAGAACTGGGATGATCACAACCATAGGTTACTCCCAAATGCTGTAACTGAAATATTAAGAAATTTGCTTACATTGTTTTCCTACTTACAATCCGTACAGAAAAGAAATTAGGGACATAATAATTCTCATGTTTAGGGAAACATGCAAAAGAATTCAAAGTTTTGTTTTGAGATAGCAGACTTTCATTTGATTGTATGACAAGTCAAAGGCCAAGTCAAATAATATGATAGGTGTCTTTCTTAAAGTAGTATATTAATTGTAAGAATAAGCTGCTGTGCATAAAGTTGCACTAGTGTTTATATGGTAATATGTTTTTTGAGGTACTTATAGTACCGAAATAGAAATTTACAGAGTGAAATGTATTTTCTCATGATAATACTTACAAGGAAGATGCTTCATTTTTAGATAAGATATTTGTAATTTTATCCCTTGCTTTTCCTTTTATTCTTTTCATGCTAATGTAATTCAATAATTTAAGTCTTATTTAGATATTGCCTTGATCCCATACCACGTTTTCCATCTGGGAAATAATCAGTGCTGTGTTGATGTACAACATGTTCTTATGAAAATAAATGCCAATAAAATCTAGTACAATGTATTTTTAAAATATGCATGCTTTATGGCTCAAGTGTATTGTTTAGCTAATCAAATTTCCATTAAATGACACACACACATGCATTTTCTTTCAGAACATCAAGAGTAGATTCAAGTTTATTGTTGATAAGCCTTTCACGGAAGCAAAAACAATACTGTGATTTTAAAATATTGAATATTTACAGCACATGACTGGAGTACTCCTTTTAACTGTGAAATGTCAACAGCCATTTCTCTAAGTAGCAGATTCCCCCTTCCCACTCTATTAAAATATTCATTTTTAAAATTAAGGCAATTATTTTAATTGTAGAATCTGTGGTGTAACAGTTCATACCTTTAACAATATATCCTCATAATGGGAGAACATACCTTTCCTTGCCTTTGGATTTGTTCAACTTTGAGAGGCACCGTTTTAACATAATATGAGTTGGGGGGCTGCTTCTAAATTGCACTAGAACAAATAAACACGATACCTCTAATTGGGGAGGTGCCTCTGCCGCGCCTTTCAAGAACCAGCCCTGTCAGACTTGCGTCACATCTCCCAAACAGTCACATCCTCCCTAGTGACAATGCCTAATGAATTCCTAGGACAGGCCATTCCTTACATTCATTTAACTTGGCAGTCATCCAGCGTGGTTGCTGTTGTGACTTCTTGGCCTGACTTGCTGATCCGGGGTGGGGGGGGTGGGGGTGGCATGCATTCCCTCCCTGCAAAAGTTCAGCTTCCTGTCTCTCCACATAGTTCAGACCACAGTACACAAAATATCTGCATGCCCCCTCCCTTGGGACACTTGCCTTTTCTTGCCCTTGTTTCCTTCTTTATCTGCCCCCTTCCTTTCCCCAGCAACTTGCTTTTAAACCTTGGAAATATTGCAAAAGCAGTTTCTGATCTGGCATGCTGGTGTGGGCGGGTGAGTTCCATATTGCTGTGTCTTGCTGCATTCTTTAGTCAATGTTCCATGGCAGAATGCCATTTCACTCATGGTTTAGAAAATAAAACATTGCATAAGAGGTTGATTTCCCCCCTTAAATTTCCCACTAGCCAATATATAGATGGAGGGAAATCTTCACAAAATAATTAAGGGGAGAAAAATGTATTTCTGATCAGTGGCGTAGCGTGGGGGGTGCAGGGGGGGCCGGCCGCACCGGGCGCAACATCTGGGGGAGGCGCGCTCGCCACCTCCGGAGTCGACGAGCCTCGGGCGCAGGCTGTAGCAGAGCCCCATGTCTCGTGGAACCGACGAGCTGGCAGCGGCTCTCAGCGCTCGCCGCGATCCCCGCGCGTCAGGGCCGCGGAGGGCGCGCCAGGCAGCCCCTCCTCACAGCCCTGCCGCCGCCGCTGCTGCTGCAGCTGCTGGGCCATGTTGCATTTTCCTCGCCTCTCTGCCCTCCTCCTCCGGGCAAGCAGCGTCGTTTGGGCGGCAGCGCCAGCGGCAACTCGCCTCAGATCACCTGACACGGACCCGCCGCCGCCGCCGTGGCTACCTTACCGTAAATACCCCAGCCCAGGCAGCAGCAAGAAGAAGCTGGCAGCGGCGGCAGGTTAGGGGTTAGGGGGCGCAAATTACTTGCCTTGCCCCGGGTGCTGACAACCCACGCTACACCGCTGTTTCTGATTCCCTCTGCCCTGCTCACACACCCTCCCCTCCCCAGCTTTCACATGTCTTGGCTCTGCCTCTTTGCTGTTGGATTCTGTACTATTGCCAGATTTTTGCCTTTTAAGACTTAAGAGACTTAGGATATCACCATGATTTGCTTTAGAGTCTCAGGCTTTGGGATCGAAGACTTGGTAACACTGTTCATGAGTAAATTCGCAAGATACTTCAATTTTGTTTGATTTATATGACATAAATTTCAGTGGGTGGTTAATTAATAAATAATTCCTGGTGTGACTCAGATTGTACTGCTCTTCACACAACATCACAGCAGGTACAAAGGTAAGGAAAAGAGGAGAGGAGGGGAAATCCTATACATGTTTTTGGACATACCTAATGAGTTCCCTGGTGTTCTGTAGTTCAGTGTTTCCCAACCGGTGTTCCGCGGCACACTAGTGTGCCGCGAGACGTTGCCTGGTGTGCCGTGGGAGGGAGGCGGGCGAGTCGGGCGGCGAGAGGCGGGGCGGCGGCGGCATCTCCTGCTGGATGCAAATCCAAACATGGCGGGCGCCTCCCTCGCTCCTTTGTAGGCGGACCATCGAGAGAGAAAGAAAAGGAGGCGAAAGAGCGAGAGAAGGCGCCTGCGCGGAAAGAGGAGCGAGCAGTGCGCCTGCACGCTGCGGCGCCCGAGTGCAGTGAAATTCCGTGAAGAGGGGAGGGGGGGTGGAAAAGAGAGAAAGGAAAGATTTTTCATTTAAAAAAAAAAAAAGGAAGAGGGAAAGAAGAGAAAAAGCGGCAGAAGCTGAGGGGAAGGTTTCCGTGAGGGAGAGAGAGAGAGAAACGCGGGGCTGGCGGGACCCCTCCTCTTCCACCACGCGTCGCCCGCCACTGCCTCAGAATCTCCTCAGGAGCGGCGGCGGCTGCTCCCCCTCGCCCCCTTCCTCCCCCCAGCCCCCTCCCAACCCCCGGACGAGGGACGCGAGGCGGCGCCGCTGAGAGGACGGGAAGGCCCCCGGCAGCGGGGTCGGCTCGAGCAAGGAGGGGCGAGCGTTAGCCGGCTGGCTCTAGCCCAGCAAGAGGAGGAGGAGGAGGAGGAGCACGCCGTCGCTTCCACAGCGGCCGCCCCACACTCCCCTCCCCGGGCACCGGCGGGGAGAATGACGGAGCTCCAGTCCGCGCTGCTACTGCGGAGACAGCTGGCAGGTCGGTCCGTCCGTCGGTCGGGGCAAAACACACCACAGCACAGGCAGAGGCAGGCAGGCCCGTCTCTCCCTGCCCCCCTCGGACCTGGCCGGCCTGGGGTTTGCACCCCAAACATTCATGTCCACCCCAGCTACACAAGCCACACCTTGCTCTCAGTTCGATCTGTCAAATAACTCACCTATCATTCACATAAAGAACCTAGTCTATCCTCAAACGTCAGAATGTACCTCCTCTCTAGCTTCCCCACTTCATCTAGGCACTTTCAGCCCTTACTTAACCCACCCCAGCCTGCTTACTCTTCCTTCATTTGCTATAAAAACTAAATACAGAGAGAGACTGAGAGCTGTTGACGAAGAGCTACGTGTGTGTCTTTCTTCGATTCCAGCCAGAATATCAGCTTTGTGTTCAGCCAAACAGGCCCAGGTTGCGCACTGAATAAAGTATTTTATAATTTTTCATATTTCTGTTTACTTACTAATTCATAATAAAGTAATTATAAAATACTTTCTTTGTGTTTATTTGATTCCTATTAAAGAGAGTTACTTTATATATAGTCAATATAGGCACAGAGTTAATTTTTTAAACATTTTCTAATGGTGGTGTGCCTCGAGATTTTTTTCATGAAACAAGTGTGCCTTTGCCCAAAAAAGGTTGGGAAACACTGCTGTAGTTCCTAAATCTATTGGCAGGAGGATTAGGAACTGACTTGACTCAATAAGCATCCTAGGATTACTCTTTCTGCTGAACTTTCTGGATTCAAACTGTATTTGATTGCATTGCAGATCCCTCTTTCACTCACTCTCTTCAAAGGTCCCCCCCCCTTTTTTTTTGCACTTACCAATGAATTATCAGCGCCTTGCTGTGTTGTAAATAAAATGTGTGCATCAGTTCTCGAGCTCACACTTCTGACCCTTTATCTCTACGGCTTCACTTAGAGTTTAAACCATGTCATGCATTGTAGCATGCAGCTCATTAAGTACTTGGGTGCACTCAGACATAAAGAGCATTGCCCATTATGCATGCCTGGCAACATAGCAAGCTATCTGCTTAGCAACACCGACCCTCACAGAACCCGTTGTTCCAGTGTGGAGGACCTTGCTGTATATTTTGCATAATTCCAGTTTAATTGGAATAGTTATGGTGTGGCGTATGAACTAAAGCCCAGCCAGTGGTCATCCTCCATTACTTGGTGGCAATAGATCATTTAGCCTTTGTGTTTGTTGTGCATTCATGACATCATCTGGTTATGGCCCAAAGTAAACAGCAGATTTTATCGCTGTTTTAATATTTTCAGTGGTGAGTCTGGATCTGGGCAAGATGGAGGCCCTGAGGGTGGGTGGCTCCTAAGTCCGGATCATTGGTCAATTGCCTGCTTTGGACAAGGTCATACTTCCACTGAAGGATTGGGCTTATAGTCTAGGGGTGCTCCTAGATCCAACTCTGTTGCTAGAGGCCCAGGTGACCTCAATGGCTATGAGCTTCCACTGGTAAAACAGCTGCGGCAATTTCTGGACTGGGATAACCTGACTACCGACAATCAGGCACTGGTAACCTCCAGATTGGATTACTGCCATGTGCTGCCTGTGGGGTGGCCCTTGATGTTGGTCTGGAAGCTGTAGCTAGCGCACTGGGGCAGGCTATATTGCTCCCATGTGTTGCACCCCTACTACAGATTTCCATCAGCTTCCAATTAGCTACTGAGCTAAATCAGCTAGGAATCTTGCCCTTAGTGTGGTAGAATGTAATCTTCGGAATTCCCTTCTATTACGTAATAGACCTTTCTCTTCCATCATACCTTTTAAGTGGATATATTTATTCCTGTCCGCATCTGCATTGGAACTATTTTAAATGTTTTATATACGGAATTGTTTTTAATTGTTTTTACTTTTTTGTTTTGTTTCATAGATGCAACTGTTTTGTTTTTATAATTGTATGTTTTATTGTTATAACCTCTCATGCAGGCATAGGCAAACTCGGCCCTCCAGATGTTTTGGGACTACAACTCCCATCATCCCTGACCACTGGTCCTGTTAGCTAGGGATGGTGAGAGTTGTAGTCCCAAAACATCTGGAGGGCCGAGTTTGCCTATGCCTGCTCTCATGGGACCCTATGGTAAAGGGCAGATAAAAAATAAAATCGAATAAAATCAATCAATAATGAAAATCAAAACTGTACCACAGCATCTCCTATGTTGCTAGAGGAAATAATTGGATCTTTGCAGAAAGCTAAAGTCATTACAATATCTTGCAACCTTTCAACAAACATGTAGAAACTGGATGTTCAGAATCTTAGAAACTAATGAAATAGGGAGTTACAGTGTTCCCTTTAACTCAATCAATGGAAAGTTGCTTTAGCATCTATAGGTAGTATTTCTTTAGGTTTAAAATTGAGATTGATTCCACAAATATTGATGTTCTGAGCATATTGGATCCCACAGCACCTTCATAGGAAGGAATTGGCTAGTTCAAATAGATGACAGGACTGAGACAATAAATGGGTGAAGCCTCCCTTTAGGACTATATCAACTCAAACTAGAAGACAAATGCTTGCACTTGGATAGGAGTGGTATTTAACTCTGAGAAGAGTCTCACTCATTTTTAAAACATCTGTGGCAACCTGTTGGAAGGGCTGCTGAGATTTGGGCACTTACCACCATATGCGGTGGAGTCATCAAAAGGTGCAAACATTATGGGTTGCGATGTTCTCAAGAAATGGAAACCATTACCAAGCAGTCCATAGGTATGTTACCCCACTTAGCGTTATTGACATTTATGTGGCTAATGCAGGCCTAAACTGCAAAGAATTGAATGGGCCACTTTTTAATGGCAGCACCTGTAGTGAAAACCCTGGCCTGAAAAACACTAGAAGGAATTTATTTAGACAAATGGTAGGGACAGGTATGGCAAATGGTCATCCTGGAAAAGTTGAACCATGTTATGAAGGTGTCTTGAGGGCAAAGTAAGCATGAGAAATATTGGGTGGTTGGGCAACTTTATTGTGTCCACAAATCATAGGGAACACGGGCAGCCATTTTGCCTTTTTTCTGTTTATGAAATGGATAAGTAATGAAAACGCTGCAAAACAATTGCAAAGCTTTAACACTGGTTTGGAGTGAATCGGAGAAGGTTGGATTTCTGGGTGTTAACTGGTTTGATGTACCAATTACTCTGTTTGGGTAGGTGCTGCAAAATGTGGGGATCGCACTGCAAAACACTGCAAAAGGACTGCAAAACATTGGCGTTGGTTTGGAGAGGATCCCAGATTTCAAGGCTCATAGTTGATGAAGCTGTATGGCAGTATGTATTTGCCTTGAGTGAACAATACTGACTTCAAAATAACCTGTATCAATAGTATGGGGAACGTAGAATGTGTCTTTTGAATGAGGAACTTTAACTTTTATTTCTCAGTGTCTCTCCAAACTAGAAAACAATGGGAAAGGGAGAGGAATGGTTGCCATTGCCCTAATTTTCAAGTGTGTGTGTGTGTGTGTGTGTTTGTAAATTCCTCCCTTGGGCCTTCAGAATGACATTTGACTGCATGAAATATATGCATAAATGCTGAATTAGCATTTGTAAAAAAGGATTTGTAAAAGGAGCCTCTGGAAACATCTACATTTCAAACTAAGATAGACAGTGGCAGAATTGTTGAAGAAGCTATTGCATTGTAATCATCTGTTAATTAAGAATAGTCACAAAACAGCTATGATTTCCATTTATTTAACAGCTTGAGACTAACTTCTTGCTAGCTTCAATTGGAACAATGTGTAAGTAAAAAATGGCGACTGTTCATTTGCTTCATAAACAGGTCGAACAGTAGTGTGTGTGTGGTTGTAGTTGTTGTTTTTATGAAAAAAACCCTGAAACAAAAACCCTGCTACATGCAGTAGCTCTACGCTTGTTTGTCTGAGAGCCAAAGGCATACTGAATTTGTGACCACCTGAAAAGAAGTTTCCTTAGCAATTACAGGCATGTGAAAGTCAAAGCTTCCTTTCCTCCTCATGTGACCTTTTCCCCAACCAGTTCAATAGCAATGAATTCCAAGCACCCACGGCGTTCATGAATTGATAAACAATGCTTTGTCAAGTAGTCCAAGCATTTCTGCCTTCATTACTGTGAAATTAGAGTTTTATTCTCTCTCCTACACCCTTCCAGACTCTTAACATGGTCCACAAGCGCATTTTCTTTTGAAATCAAATAGCACCAAGCATGCAAATATACGTGTGGGAAATGTCCAAGCACGTGGGGCCTAAAAGTGCCAAACGGCTAGCTGGATTGCGCCTCTGCTATTTCTTATCAATCACTTGGCATGTGTTCCATCCTCTCCTGTGCAACATTCAAAGTCAACATAGGACTAAGCTGCTGGTGGAATCTGTTTTGTCTTGCCTATGCGAAGTGGATAGAGCACAGCTGGTGCTGCAGTCGCTTTGACCCCTGTGCTTGTAAGTACATACTCCACAGGGAAGAGGCGGTTGGTTGCTGAAGAAATAGCAGTAACTATGGTACTTTCAGGAGAGTGTTTCTCCTCCCACAACAGCATTAATAGTTAAAGGGTTTCATGGTAGGACACTTGGGTCCTGCACTGCACTTCTTCGATTTAAATTTAACTTCTTTGCTTGAAAAGGCAACTCCAGTTCACAGCTTAACAGAAACAAAATACAGGGCTGTGGGGGCAGTTTGGGGCTTTTATTGGAGATCCCTGCTAGATAGATATTTAGAGCTCAGGCCCCACTGCACTAGACATTTAAAGCAGTATCCTACCACTTTAAATGGACATGGATTCCCCTAGAGAATCCTAGGACATGTGGTGAATTAAGACTGTTGAGACCCAGGCCACTAGGCTTTGTAATATTTAGTAAGCTGTGCTGGAGAATGGCGTATGAAATAAGGAGCGTAGTAATCACCTCCTGAGCTGTTTGCTTTACATGCAAGGTGTGCTACACTTTAAAAAGGTACCGTATTTTTCCGTGTATAAGATGATTTTTTTTGCCTCCCAATAAAGTCAAAAATTGGGGGTTGTCTTATACATGGATGGTGAATGCACAGGAGCTCAGGTTCAGACTCTGGTGCAAGTAGCCTGGGCTTGGGTTCGAGCTCTGTCGCGGGCAGCCCAGGCTCAGGTTAGGCTTTAGGATTTACAGAAGCATTGGAGAGTGGGATGGAGTCAGAGGAAGACCCTGCTGAGGTAAGGGTTGTCATATTCCAAAAAGTGAAAATCTGGACACAAAAGTTGTTGAGAACATGCTTGTATGTGTGAAGGATGACGTTGATGTGTTGGGGTTTTTTGTGCTGATAGTGCAGAATGACACGTCTATCTATCAATTGTCTGGTAGAATTTAATAACATGTGACTCGTGTTCTTAATGGAGAAACATGCAACCCTCCTCTCTTCTAAGTCTGTATTACTAATATCTAAAGAAACAGCTCACACAAAGCAGCCTCTTTCCCTGTCATGTTTCTTTTAAAAGAGCTATTGTTAAAGTGCTTCATTCTGGAGTGCTTTGATTGTTGTGTTATGTACAGAACACTGTAATTAATTTAACAACAGGTTCTTTGAAGGTCAAATTCCCACTTTGAATATCAATGTGTCCAATGTACTGAATGCATTTAGGGGCACTCTTTATATCTTGCACCTCTCTTAAAATGTCTGATACACACACACACACACTGGGTCACTTGTGGGGCAGTTGACCAGGGATATTCAGTTTTCTTAAATGCAGTTTTCATATATCACAATGATTTGCAAAGGTAAATATATACATTTAGGAAGGCACAACAGTAGACATATTATGCTTTTGGATGACACAGAATAGAATACTTTCAAAATTAAAATCTGGCAGTGATCTACCCCCATTTTTTAGGGGTTCGGGTCAAAGTTGTTTAATCGCTCAACTAAACAGCGCTGTGGAAGCATTTTGCCTCACAGCAATAATTCTCTTCTGAGATCAAGAGAAAATCCAGGCAAAGGAGAGGGGTGGGGCCGGGTGCTCTTAGGCAAAAGCAAAGGAAAATGAGCCCACAATTGACTGCAACCTCCCGGGGATCAACCAGTCGATCCCGATCGACCTGTTGGACATCGCTGCCATAAGGAAACATGGACCCTGAGAAAGCATGCCTGGAATCCCTAAACTCTCACATTGCTCAGAGATTGGGGTGGCATGCAACAGTGGTCATCTTGGTATGATGCCAACATACTAAATATGTTTGTGTGTAGTACTTATCCCTTTTAATGGCACATAGTACTAATACGTACAATGCTTGTGTTTTGTTAAAATTTTGACAAGAAGTATAATCTCTGGCAGGAGTCCAGTCATTTTTTCCTGACCATAGGATCTCTGCTTTGCTGCTTTCTTGAATACAGAACTATGCTTGTCCAACTCATAGCCATAACAAAAACAGCTTCATTTCCAAAAGTCTGAAAGTTAGTATTTGTGTAAACAGAAATATTGCATCAACTGTTTTAGTCCCATGAAAAGTGGGAGACTATATATAGCATGTGACTTTGCTGATTAATATTTATATGCAAACATACTTTGCAAAACAGTACCAACATGACAGGAAAGAGACTGCTTTGTGTTAAAGACTACCAGTGGCAATATGCAAGCAATGTTTTTGAACTTAGTCCCAAGGTCACCTTTATGAACCTTGTTTTATCCCAAATGGGGTCTATGTGGACTATTTTTCCTCTCTGCTTTCATTTTAATTATGTAGCCACTCTTTTAAACAGTGACAATTGTTTCCTCTTAGTTATTTTGTCTGGCAGTATACCAGATATTGCCAGATATTCCAACTATCTACTGGAGAACTTTCAGAGTGTACTGTAAGCAGGTGTACTTAGTCCTCTTCAAATGAACACATAATAGATAATAGCACAAACCCAAGAGTGTTTGGAGTTCCAACAATGCATACAGGGATGCAGACATATAATGTTTTTGTTAAGGGTATTCTAATGTGGAAATAACCATAATCCAGTAGTCACCAGTTCTGCAAACATTTTTGGGGGGGTGGGGTGGGGGAGGCTGGTAATTGTGGGAGTGCAAGTGTTCTGGAGATCAACCTGCAAAACTGAAGAAACTGATACTTTTCAAATACCATTCAGTGTCTTTTGCTCATTAGCAGTGTAATGTATGCAGTCTTAATTAAATCTATTCAAGCTTGCGTACTGAATCAGAACAAGAGTGTATTTCCTTTCCTGGCCTCCTACGCAGCAACTCTGATGCAACTTGTATGCCTAGTTTTTCAAAAGTCTTGTTTAACCACTTCTTTTCCTTTTGTTCCAGTTTTTCCTCACTGCACCATCGCTGTGAAACACTTAGCGGAGGATGAATTCTATTCACAAATCATGTATATATGCATGTGAGCTCAAGTCCACTGCCTACTTTGTATTTGGGTGGTGACTTTTGGTGGCAAATGTATCATCACCTCTTCATCTCGTTGCTGCAAAGAAAATAAGTAGCTTATGGCAGCAGATTTTAGTAAGTAGCAACTCATGTTAATTAAGGAAAGAATAAAGCTTCTTTGACATGGAAAGTTCCTTGCTGTCTGACTTACTAAAGGACAGGTCACTCCGCTGAATATTCTACCATTCTAATTTCTGCAACATAACTGTAATAATAAATTACAAGCTTGGGAAACAACACATTCAATACTAACTTGTACTTAAGAGTGTTGTACACAAGCTTTTACCTTAAAGCATTACTGATTACAAATAGAAACTCAGCGGTTGGTTCTATGAACAACAATTTGCATGGATTCTGTCAAGTTGTTGAGGTTTACTATCATGGAAACAAATCCTATAGCTTTGGAAGACGGAAGTCAAGATCAAAGAATGTGTATTCAGGCAACAGAGGTTTCAAAATGTTTGACAGTTTGGCCATATGAACCACTTTCCTCTGTTGGTTTGACGTACCTATTAAGGTACTACTAAGACCCTCTTCACTCACAACTCCAGCCATATGGGTGCCACTTTCCCATAGTGCCCTCTCATGTAACTGAGATATGTTTATGACTGTTGCAATCATGTCGGTTTTTCCACACCAAATTAACATCCTATCAGGACAGTGGGTAATACCCACATGATCTGGACTGCCCACATTTGCTGGATCTACACACATACTACAGCCACAGAGAGAACCACAATGACCTGATTTGCACAAGACACCAAACCATGTTTATTAAACAATGGTTTATCAAACCATGGTTTGCCTGAACTCTTTAATGTTTAATGCCAACCAACCACAACCTGAAGCTATGGTTTGCTGCTGGTTTGTGAACCTTGGTTTAACTATGGGTTGGTACTATGTGTGATTTTGGCACACTTTGTTAACTATTTGTTTGGCCGGCCAGCCACAGATGCTTTCCAAGGTACAAAAGCATAAGGCAAGAGTACAGTAGTTGGAAAGCAAACCAAGCTTTGGAGATGCAAACCGTGGTTTGCTAACAGTATGTGCAATCCATGTCAATGGGTTAGCATGTTTTATGTAGCCAGGTGCATGAGGAGGGGCTCAACCTGTCTTAGCTATCTACTCCAGTATGCTTGGAACCATAGTCAGTAGCAATTTGTACAGACTAATGTTGTCAAATGTTTATGCACAGAAGCTTGGTGCCTTTAACAACCATATGAAGGTTCATACCAACTAAGTTCTCCTTCCCACAACTCCATATTATGCCATTTGTTATGCCCTCCCCTTAAAAAACAAGCAACACGTTTTCCCTATACAGTGAAGAGCCCGGTGAAAATATCTGGTTGTGATTTTTTTGTTTTGTTTTAAAGAATGATTTAGTAAGTATACCCACTGTATATTTAGTTAAATTGTTTAGTGAACCACTCAGTGCCACAAAGGCAGTTTACTCAGATCCTGCAAAACAGCATACCCAATATCCCCCAATATAAAAATATTTATTAGAATTTCAAGGGGTGGGAGTGGGGAAGGACATAAGTTGAATTACACAAGTAAAAAATAAATAAATTAAACCCACACTCACTCAGATTTTGTCAATTGGCCCCAGCGAATCATTATGCATGCCTCATTCTCCATTTGCCACAAAATTCCCAACTGTTCAGGACAGCTTTAATCAACCTACTACACAAAGTCCAGATTTAGGGAAGCGGCTAATTTCTGTCTTGCACAACTAAGCACGTCTCTTAACTTTCTTCCTCGACCCTTATTCAACACCCTTTCCTCTACCCTTAAGAAGACCCGCGTAACAACACAAACGGGTTTCAGTAGGCACACGTTCTGCCTGAAGCCAGACGTTCTTGCAGCTCCTCACCATCATGTGCCGTATTACATTCCAGCCGTGTCCTTTATTCGCCCGCGCGCGCACCCACCCGCGCTGCCCACCGAAAGCACTTCCAAATAAATACCGCCACAACCAGCAACTAGTACGGCGGCGGCCGCCTTTCTCTCAGCCTCTTCCACAGCTGTTCGACCCTATTAGACCACCGCGGCTGGAAGAGTTCCGAATGGAACGAGAGGGGAAGAGGGAGCATTCTACTGTATTCCCTTTCCTACTGGTCCGTGGCGGCGGGACTCTCCGGGCTCCCGACGTTTCATTGGCTAACACGTTTTTCTTCTCCCCACCCTGGAGCTAATTGGTGGAGCTTGAGCGTGGAGAGGATGGAATCCCGGGTACGAGGCGTGCATATGTGTATGTGTGGAGGGCTCGGGGTGCAAAGCAGAAACTGACCCGCCCTGCTGGTCACCTGCAACAAACACATATATACACATATATGCATATTCTCTAACACACACACACATACATATGTGTCTGTTATATATATATATGGGTATGTATATGTATGGATTGGGATTGACTTTTAACAGGGCGCGCGCGCACACAGACGCACTGTGCCTGCGTGAAGGCGGTTCTGTGCACACCCGGGAGGGCGCGGGTGTTTGGAGAGAGCGCGCCGCATTTTCCTTGCATTGCTACGCAGGGCTCCCTCTGAAGGGGATTCGCGGCTGAAACTGAGGGAGTTTGCAGCTGTCAAGAGGAGGTGGAGGGGCTCCTGTAGTTGAAGCAAGAGAAACAAAGAACATGGCGAGGCATTACAAGCAAAGCGAAGAAGAGGTGGAGTCTGAGGTGACGGGAACCGAGTTTCTTCCCGCCCCTTGGGAAGCAGGCGGGGGGGGGGGAGAGAAGAAGAAGGGAAGGACAGTCGGAGGGGAGGACCGTGGCAAGCCGGCGGGGCTCCCGGATGAGGAAAAGCCAGCAGGGGCGAGTTTTGTTTGTGGCAGTTTCGGGAGGAGGAGGGGGCTACACGTGACGCGTTTGGCGCTCAAGTTGCGCGATTTGTTTCATTTCCCCTTAAGTGCAACAACTGCAAGTAAGAGTGGGAGGGAGCGCGCCAGGATCCGTCCCTTGTGGAGAAGAGGGGCTTCTTGCAGCCGCCGTCCTCCTCCTGCTGGCTGTGGGGGAAGAAGAGCGCTGTGGGGCGAGCGGGCGGAGTGGACCTGGCACGCAAGGGGACTCTGCCGGAGCTTCGGGAGCCTAAAGTCGGGCAGAGAAGCGCGGGGCGGAGCGGGTGGCGGCGTCGGGCTGCCCCGCCTCTTCTACCCCGCCGGGACCAGCGGGGTTGAGCGCGAAGAACTACGCCGCAGGTGGAAGGGAGGCTGCCGCTGCCGCCTTTCTCCCCTCGAGGGAGGCCTCTCTGTGCCGTCCGGGAAGATGCTTTTGGAGGAAAGAGGCCGGTGGCCGGTCGCCTGACTTCTGTTGCTTCGCTGCGTGGCGTTGCAAGCCGTAGGGGCTGGAAAAATAGGGGAAGGTCGCCTTTTTCCTTGCTCGCGGGTGGCGAATAGCGCGCGCCTTGCTACGAGCAGAAGGCGAAGGAGCAACGTTCCCGAGCTGCATTTTTGTGAGGGACAAGATTTCCCGGGAGCTTGTGTGGCTGCGAGGGGTGGCGGGAGACGGAGCCCGGGTGCCCTCTTCCTTCGAAAACTGTAACTTCTGGTTGATCTGGAGAGAAGAGGAAACATCATCGCTTTCCCTCCCTTCTCTCTGACTGCTCTTAACTTAGGACCCAAATAGCAACTGTGGATCGCAAACAGGGAGAGGTATTGGCAAAGGGATGAAGCACATCATGTCCCCTTCCTGAATACTGTAGTAGATCAAGCGGGAAGGCTCGAAATGACTAACCTTAAGTTTGGTTTGTTGTTGTTACAGCGGTGGAAATGGCAGGCTCTTACTTACAAGTTCTGGAAGTGGTGGCATAACGGGAGTGAGCTGTGCAGGTGCAGCGACAGGTATTGAGGGAAAAGGAGCGAATTGCTACCTTTCTCTTTTTGAAAGGGGTCCATAGGAGCGGAATCAGGTTAATCAGCTGTGCTTGCTAGTTGCCCTTGCGGCCCAATCCTATGTGTTTACTGGGATGCCCCACTGAATTAGCTATAGAGTTTACTCCAAAAATAAGTGCATGGAGAATTTGAGTGGGAGACTAACTTCTGAACTCTTGTGGTGGGAAGTCAGTAGTTTTTCTAAGCAGAGGTTGTTTGCTAATGCAGCAGGTGGGCTTATGTGCAGCAAGAGGAGCTGACGGAGCTGCTACAAGTGCATATGAAATGCCTCTTTTCTATGTAAGCAAGCAATTCTGTGTTTTAGGGTATTAAAAAGAAGCCATCTTGTTGGCTGAAGTGTGTGGAAAAGCTCTCTAGCGTTACCTTTGACTTTAACTGTACAGCTGCAGTTGTTTGGTGTAGGGTCTGTGCTATGCTTGTAACGAGGAGTAAATGTTTCTGAAGTTCAAAATGCATCTTAAGCTGTTTTGTGCTCCCCCCCCGTCCCTCAGAGATCAAGGCGAATCTTTTTCTTTTTTAAAAAAACACCCTCTTAGCGTTAAGGAGAACTTTAATACCACTTCATGTCATTGTTGACCTTGGAAGCCAGTTCTAATGGGTTTTCAGCCCTCAGAGGCCACTCAAATTCATTATTCACATAGAGGGTTTACAGTCTGCCCTTGGGAAAGCATAGAAATATGCTTTTGAACCATCTTGCCCATCTTGACATGGTAGAACAGCTCACCCCGCCCACAAACTACATTAAAGGGGGAAATACTAAGAACAATCTTCTAGCAAATAATGTACTCTCAATTCTTTTTTTCCAGTCCATCTATGTTAAAGATTATTTAATGAAGGCTTTTGCGGTATATAGATACAACTCTGTCACCCACTGCTTGATTCAGCAGCATGAAGATATTGTTTGTATTTGGGGAGCACGCTACATTGGTTACTGCACCAACAAGGTGCTTCACTTTTGGCCAGTGAAATGCATGGTTTTTCCTAGAAAAGTCTGCAGTAACTTGAGTGCTTCCTAAGAAGTTTGACCGAGACCAAAATATGTTTATGGCAGCAGGGTTTGTTTGTTTTTAAGTTCTGATAAGTTGTATTGTTTTACATGGTAATGTAGTTGGGCACACTTCAGAAGTTGCGCAGTCCAAACCTCTTCACATCTACATACTGTTTCCCCAAATGCCCAGTGATCTTGGTGCAAAGCAGAAAGGGGTGCCTTGGTCTACTTGATTAAGCACAGTT